GAACCAGAGGTCTTCAACCCACAAAACCTCGAATTCAGGCACGGAAAAATCATCAGTCAGGGCGCTATGGCATGCCTCATTGACTGTGACATTACGGTCGGACCAATGTTTCCCTTTGTCCATAGCGCACACCAAACAGTGACTATTGAAGGATGTAACGGTGTCTCAGCAAATGCTTTTGGATTGTCAGCACGTCATATGCAACTATTTTGTATATTAACGTGCTTATTCAACCAAAAGCCAGCTTCTTCGTAAAAATAATTTTTCGTGAGAAAATCAGGATCCGTGGCCATCTTGTTTCAAAACTCATTCGCGGAACGAGCGACTTGCTTGGTGGTCATTCGGTTTAAATTCTTGCACGATTTTGGTTTTTCAAGTCCGTAATATGTTTGCATCCTTCCGGAAATCTTGAGTTGTTGCGCGCGTTGGTGGATGAACTCATTTGGTTTTTCTTCTATACTTTCTCTACGTAAATTTATTTTTCGAATGGCTGCCGTATATAGATATTCACTTACTACTGACTAGATAACATGTTTTATTTTAATTTTTTTATTTATTCTTTTTTGTGTGGTCTATCAATAATTAGTAGATGGCGCGCAGAAGAAATTATTCTTATTGTGCCACTTAACAGTGTAAATATATTTCTAAGTAAAACACTGCTGCTCCAGTAAGCGCTCCCAGGTTCCAAAGCCGCATTTGCCTAACTTTATCCCTCTATGTAGTCCTCTGATTATATATTTATCAATTCTACAGCTCTAAATTAAAAAGTATATGCACGTGCTTGCGTCACTGGGCATTCAAGCGTGCTAATTGCATAAATTAATGACATCCACATTTGCCTCGAGGGTGGAAGAGCCACCAAACTGCCAACCGCTATTGTGTTGCGCCACACAAATTGACAAACTGTAACAAATTAGCATAATCTTGTATAGCAAGCAAGCCTTTTAGCTACACGTACCCCGCACACTGGTGAATATGAATATGAGCTACAAACACCTCATGTACATTTGTATGTGGGGATAACAGTGTTTCTGTGGAATGTAATATATATGTATGTGTCTGACACACATATGCCACCAGTCGAGGGAATCATGTGTCTAGAATGAGTAAATTTCCGAATATCTAGTTTTTTCTTCACTTACACATTCACACACACACCCAAGTACATTCTTTGTGTCTAAGTTCCTAAAATATCCTGAGTATACATAATTTTTCACGCCTATATGGCTAGGAGCCACCTCAGCACTTAATTACACTTTTGTCCTTTGACGCTGATTTTGTGTAGCAATGATGGGGATGCGCTCACACACACCACACTGCAAAAAAGTCAAAGTTCAACTGTGCGTTCGAGTGGCAAGCGTCACAAAATGCTTGTGTGCCGCCTTTATCTCTATCTTTGGCATTGCTGCTTTGGTTTTGTTTGTGCGCTCACTCAACCTTTGGTTGCGTCAAATTGGCTGATTTCACACGTTTGATGTGCGACAAACTTCGTGCCTGTGCAGTTCATGTCACGTATACGCCCCGGTCGCACGTGTTGCCCACTGCGGGCGTACGTGTGTCTGCAGCGCCTGCCGTTCCCGGAAAATTTGCCGATTGCGACAGTTGCAACGCTATAAACTCACTTGATGCTCTAACTTGACATTGTCCCCTTTGCCACGCGCCCCTTACGTAGCAGGCGGCTGGTGCCAACACATTTGGCTATTAAATTAAGTTGTCGGAGTTGGTGTCATGCACAAACGGTTTGACTTTATGAAAGCTTACATGTCATTGACTTGACAATAACCTCAACCCTTAATGCCTTAAAAGAGGCATTGACAGGAAGTATTTCTTTGAGCATTTATGAGTATTTATGCCAGAGAGAGGGTAGGGAATCGAAAATTAAATAAAACTACTTCAAACATATTTTTCAGCCCCTTTGTATAGCGGGCGTTCTATTACTACGTTACAGAAAATTTCGAGAGCAAGGAAAGCAAAGTTCTTCTTGAAAGTATAATTCTCTGTATTGTTTATGAATTAGAGACAGTCAGTGGTATTATATTCAAATTCTTGATCAGTGTTTCCTTGATGTAACTTAGATTTGATTGAAAATTTTTTAGTCAGCTAGAAAATCCTAATATTTTTCGCTAACTTTTATCTTCTTAAAATACTTTGTAAGTTCCTGATTTGACTCCAAACTACGACTTATATATATAGCACTTAACTAAAATTTGATCCCAAATATTGATTTCCCTTCCTAAGAAGAGTTCGAAAAGAGCGAGTTGGACAGAGACTTTAGGATAAGGATGAGTCCAAACTACATAAGTGAGTCGAAAGTGGTGTCTATTCTTCAAACTTAGATAACAGAATCGCCTTCTGTATACCAGACCACCAAATTGAGTTCACAGCAGTTAGATCGAGCCTTCTTGTTCTAACATAGAGTGTGCACTTAAGTCTCTCAGGATTTGGTCAAATATAGTAGAAATATGCTCCATCTACATATTTACCTAACTAATAGAAATATTCAAAGAGGTCTAGCAGTCCTTATTACTCCTTAATTTTGTATATCGAGTATTCAATTAATACAAAATACTAGAAAAATCTGTTGTAGATACTCGGACTTTGACCGAAGAGTATTTGTTAATAAACACTAATAACAATAATAATTAAAAAGCTTATATATTCACATATGTGTATTATCTACAATTAGTACTAAGATATCTTTCAACAGTTCATATTAATTTAGCACTATTATTATTACCCAATTTTTTATAAACTTCTTCCTGATTCAGTGGTTCCCCTTCACCTGGCACCACCAATTCATTAAGAGCCAAAAGAGTCTTCTTGAAGCCCGTCGTCCACTTGCATTTCCATGCAACAACGAAGTTTCTCCCATAACAGCTGCTATCATGGTCATAACACTAAGTTGCCAAAACACTTTGCCTTATTGCCACAAACAGCAACTCGCCATGACAATTGTCACTCCGTGCATTCGAGGCATTAAAATGATTATCTTTTCGGTGCTAAAACATAGCTGATAACAATCCCATGCACGTCGTGTTTGTTTGTTCGTATGCCTAAATGTGCAGTTAAGAAACTGTTATGCAAGACGCTGGCCATTAAAACCTTCAAGTTTAGCTGCTCATTCTGGCGGACACTTGGGACGACGAGCAAATCGAGTGGATTGAAAATGGCAGTACTTGTCTCTCTCCGCATACATATACGCTATAATAATAAAAACCAACTTTGTCCAGCAGTCACCTAACTACAGTTAGTTTTGTTTTTTTGTTTAGGGATATCTTGTGTTATTTTTAACTTCGTAGGAAGTTGCCACAGTCATGGCTGAATGCGAAACTTTAAAATTGTACTTTTGGCACAGAAAAGTACACAATAAATACTTCTACGCTTTCGGCTGTGTAAAGCTTTTTTTCCTCCTTTCAAAATAGACCTTCATCATTAACAAATGACATCAATAAAAATAAAAACGTTAACATCGACCACACCGGAACTATAATACCCTTCACATGAGACTTCTCATCACAATTATATGTATAAATACATCTGAAAAAGTGAACGACCAACGGTTCGTGAGTTATTATTGACCAAATTGTACCTGTTTTTGACAATTTGGGTTTATTAAGGTATCTCACATATCATTAATTAAGGTTAGTAATAGGACTTCGTTGGAGCGCCTTCCTAGCAAATTTTTTCCTCCTGGACAAACTGCCAACGCCAAGTTTTAGGTGGAAGTCAACCGAGTCCGATAAGACAGCGCCGATTGGAAGTTGCACCCCTGCAACGCCTAGGCTCACACCGCCTTTCCTGGGAACAGCTACCTAAGCAAGACCGGCATCTCAATGCTTTTGCAGCCGCCCTACAGCCCAGATGTGGCTTCCCTGGACTTTTTTGTTCTATTGCCTGAAAAGGCGGATGAAAAGCAAGCGTTTTGAGATGACAGAGGGAATCCAAGCAGCTTTCACCTTGACTCTCCAGGTTAACTATTCCAGAGAATGCCTTCCGTAACGCTTTCAATGCTTGGAAATCGCACTGGCAGCGCTGCATCGACGCAGAAGGAGCCTATTTTGAATGTGTTTAAAGAATTTTAAGGATTTGTTCTAAGCCAGTTGGTTTAATAAATTTTTTTTAAATCGACTCAGGCCTATTACTTTCCGTACAAACGCTGTATATCTACATATTTCGATTAGTTCGGTCCATGCAACCGTTAAATGAACAAAACTATTATACTCTGTAGCTACAGTGGTCCAATATGAATAATTTCACCTACTCGAAAATTTAGCCTGTTCTTGGACAATAACATATTTCTTGATGATATTGTGTCGCATGAAAAGGTTACATCTAACCTTTTGGAGTTAAGTAGTTCACTTTCGTTAAATATTAAAATTATACAAAATATTAAGTACAAATATAGGTGGATAATTTGGTATTTGGTGTATTTTGAGTGACTCTAAGTTTTTGGATGTAAGGAGAATATATCTGTTTACCTCTTCCTCTTCCCCGGGTTTGTACACTAACTTCTTTCTGGAGAGTGTAGTTTTAAGTCCACTTCTCTTATACTCCTTTGCCGATCTATCTAGTTATGGATTATTCTATGAAACTCTTAATTCTTTTTTGATATTAAATATCATGTGAAAATTGGATTTCCAAGTGGTGGCTATCCAGTTGCATCACCTGCCTGGAAAAAGTTAAGATCATCTAAATACTTTCTCTTCGAATGTCACATCTTTGCTAGATCAAAGCGAAAACGCCGCGATTCTAGTGCTTTTAGACGTGTTTCAGCATAATTGTGGTACTAGAAATAAAACAACTAACCAAATTTGTAATTGGCTCAGGGCGCTTTGCCGATAGTAAGTATCAAAGTAAAGAAGTTATCGATATGGCTACACAGAGTATAAATGCGATCGCACGAGTACGAACCCAAACTAACTTAAATTCCAAATTCTATCTCATTTATATTATGTTTTGCTAAATTTTACTAATTTCTTCGCAATTTCTTGTCTTTACAGATTTGCTCATCGAAATGCTGGGTGTGTTGGCCAGCTACAGCATTACAGTGAAAGAGCTCAAACTACTCTTCGGCACCATGAAAGCGGTGAATGCCAAATGGCCACGTCACTCTGCCAAATTGTTGAACGTGTTGCGTCAAATGCCACATCGCAATGGACCCGATGTGTTTTTCAGTTTTCCAGGTCGCAAAGGATCGGTGAGTTAATCCAAAAGAAAATGAGCACGAAATCTCATCAATCTATTTAAATTGTACAAGTGCTATTGTAAAAAAGAAAATTTGCATAAAATATTAAATCCGTGGAAGTGTCGTGTAATCTTTAGCAATGCTACAGGACAAAGCGTACGTCAATCACTGACTACAACAAATAAAATACCATTGTGAATTATTTCCTCCTCAAACCAGCAACACTGCCTTTGAACACGTAGCAGCCGCAGTGGCAATCTGGTTCAGCCCTAGCAGCCTTACTGCAGCCTAATCTTTTATTTACTAACGAATAACTCACAGGAATGTTTGTATTTCTACAAATTGACTGCGTTTCGCTTTGAAGAAGCTCAAGGCTTCGCCGCTTTATGCTGCTGTGGCGCAATTTCCCGTTATGCCACGTAATACCATGTTGCATTATTAATGTGAATGTGTGGTTGTGTGATTGTTTGGCAGTATCTTGCCTTTAATGTACATTTCTAACGACTGCAGCTTGTGGTGCCACCGTTGGCCGCCGCCTAAGCAACTTTGTGCTTCACTCACACAAAACTCGAAGCTTGTGGCAACTTTTACGCAGATTTTTCTATTTACAAGAAAACAAAAAAACAATAAACAAAAAAAAAAAACAAAAAAAAAAAAACAGAGAAAAATTGTGCTTTTGTCCATATGCTGCGTCGCCTTTTTTACATCATCATGTGGCGAAATGTTTACTGTGCCATTGCCATTTCATTTTTATTCGCCACTTTATGGGCGAAGATTCGCGCACAAATCGAATTCCAAATGCGCCGCGAGTGTTGTGTGCCTGCATTTTTGTATTTTGCGTATTTTTATATGCGAGTTAGACAATCGTTTGTTATGTATGAATGTGTGTGAGTGCATAGGCATCTGTGTTGATTGCTCGAGTCAATAAAGGGTGACCATAAAACGTGTGCAACGGGCCGTGTAGGCGTTGGTACTTTGTTTCTGTTTAATTGCATCCATAAAAATGGACGCGCCAGGCTGCGCAAATGTGAGAGAAAAAATTCACTAACGGCATTTTCTTCGTAATTTAATACTTACTGGAGTGCAATTGCAGGCAGAGTGATTTTCTTTGTGCGTCCTATAGTCAATTTTTATGTCTGCAAACGGACTTTGTGAAGGGTATGTCTTTTTATATGTACAACAATTTTATTACTCCATCGACTTTTTCAAGAGCAAAAAATTCCGCAATATTGGTATAAGATTTCTTTTTTATATATATACATATATATTCTTGTCGAAACTTCTGTAAGATTTCGAAAATTAAGATATTCATGAAAATATTTCAAGCTTTTTATCGTCTCCATCAAGAACGATTTGTTCAACTAATATACAAGTTAGACAATGGATAGTCGAAAAAGTCTTTTCGTATTTTGTCAATAGATGTCGTTGCAGTCGCATGTCTCCAGAGCTGAAAATCGTATTCTCTCATACCAAATTGTGTTGGAAAAGTGAGATTTTGAGCCTAATTTAATGAAAAACAAAATTTAATTCGGGGAAGTTGAAATAAAGTTACAGCTTTCCCGAAAATAGTGAAAATAATGAAGAAATTCACTTTTATTTGAAATTTTTGTATAAAACAGGGAAGAATGCCACGCATGCCATCAATAAAATTTGTGAAGTTCACGGAGACGTTGCTGTATCAGTTCAGAATGGTTTGCTCGCGTCCGTTCTGGAAATTTCGAAATTTCGATTTACACTGATGAAAGTTTTACACTGATGGAATAATGTCTCTAGCGGAAAAATGGCAAAAAGTGGTCGACCAAACTGGTACATATTTATTTATTTATTAGTAAAAAAAAAAAAAAAAAAAAAAAAAAAAAAAAAAAAAACAAGTTGAAGTTTGATTCGAAATACGAAACGACTTTTTGAACTACCCTATATTTTTATTTGAGGGAATGAAAATTGCTGTTCAGGCAACTAAATAGCCATACAACTCTACATGTATCGTAGCTCACATACAGTGGCCATACCAGAAATCATTCATCATACTACATATACGGTACTGGCTAGAGTTCTCGCCCGTTTACAGTTCTACCTAAAATATGATTGAAAACCTAAAAATCGATTTAAATGTATCAAAAGTAGTAGAAAATTTATCAAATATTTGCATCTGACATAACAATAAGAACTGTCGAAAAGTTTTTATTTTTGAGGCATATACAGGGTGCTTCAAATTAACACAATTTTTAAATTTGCCGCCATTTCAATGAATCTCTTTACAGTTGAAGAACTTAAGACACAATTCCAATAATATATTGTATGAAATTTTCAAACTGTGACTGCCAAGCTTTCATTACTTTTGAATTATCGTTCAATAATAAAGACACGTCGTTCCGTAGCGGTACGCTCCATTTTTACTAAACTTAAACTTTTAGCAGGGACTTAGTTTTTAGAGTTGTCAACATTTTGCAACATAATCGGCGGCAAGCTTAAATTATGATTTATTTTGGGACAGCGTTTATAAACGTAATCACCCTGTATATTACCAAAATGTACAAAATTGTATCAAATAATAATAAAATGATCCTAAATTCTTGTAGTATATCTGCAACTAATTTTTCGGGTGCCAACTGTGGGAAGTTTAGTGAAAACAATATTATTACTTAAACCGAAAAATAATTGTTATTATTTTATTACTTTCATCAAACATGTCTAAAGAGACCTGTTTACCGTACTCTTAACTTTGAAAAAATATACTTTATTGGTACGAAAGGAGCAAGAACGTGTTTCATATCCAAAATATCCACCAAAATCATTCCAACGAGCACTCTTGACATCTCTCTAACACTTGTTTGCCGATTTTCAATATGTTTATCACTTGCAGAGGTCGAAGGTCTTCAACGATGTCTTGATCGTCTTTGAAGACTGTTTACTAAACGTAGGCTTATGTTTTTGATAAAACCGACTCCGCCTACAAAATATAGTTAGAAATACAAAATTTTAGACAAATTCCTTGTTCGATATTTTTAACTATTCTAAAAATCACATTACTGAGGTGTACCGACTTAATCACCTGCTGTTAACAAACTGGTTGGCAGAGCAGTCCTACCAACTAATCAAAACACATTTGTTTGAAATATCATTTACTCGAAAAGTTTAGTCTTCCAACTTTAGTATTAAGCACAAAATGTTCTGTCAGAATTTCCTTAGAATGCCTTTTTTAAAACCACTAACTGTTGAATATAAAGTGCTATTTGCTGAAAAGGTCCCCAGTTAATTACTTTCATGATACATTTCATGAATATGAAATGCTATAATACTCGCTTGGCTGTCAGTCTACAAGCAGAAGACGGAGCAGAAGAGTTGGATACAGCAGCTAGTAACTGTAACAGAATTATGACGAATTGGTTTCTAAAAATTACGCATGCTATTAAAATGCTGATGAGGGTATCAGAGGCAAGAGAGCGAGCGAGAAAAAAGGTCGTTAAGCAACTTCAACGCTGCTGTGGAAAAAATGCAAATAACTTTCGAACTTTCGTTGATGTTACATCAAACTGACGAAACTTTATAAATTTGAGCGCACATTTTTTCACTTCTAATGCTTTTATGTTCCTATTTTTGTTTTTAATTTTATTTTGCGTTTTTTCATTTTCCAATTTCGCTTAGTGATTGCAACATCAAAGGGCGGCGGCGGCGGCGGCGGCAACTCTTATCAAATGCTTTTGTAGTCACAACTTTTTTACACGACGACAACAACAACACGTCTGGCCAGCGAAGAGAATAACTGCGTTGCCAATTTCAAATTTCATTGCTTCATATTTCAATTTGGCCGGCGCATGCGGCGCTGTCACAACTTTTTTTCGATGTTTTTTTTAGTACTTTTTGGGCGCCTCGGCATTTCAACGGCTTTTGTGTGTGTGTGTGTGTGTGTGTGTGTGTAGTTCAGCATTTCAGTGTAGACCTCGCGACATTATATTTAGCTGTATGTATGTGTGATAGTTTGCATAACTTTCCCATTGAAATATCCAAAATATTGGCAAAGTTTTGTTAGCAAAGCACCGGCGCTCCTGGAACTCTCCTGTGGCGAAAAGGAATGAATGACAAAATTGCGAATGCCCGGCAACAATGATGACAGCAGTGAGAGCAAAGTAAGAAAAAACAAAAACAAAACACTGTGAAACAATGCCGAAAAACAGAAATTGTTTTAGCAACAACAACAAAAAGCTGCAGCCACATAAAGGGCTGGGCTTGCGGTTTTTTGCCCGAAATGAATTGGGAAGCTTGACGAAATTCCCTGGTAACGCATTTCACTAATAAATTGGTCAAAATTATTCCCAACTCTATTATGGATGACAGCAACAACAACAACAGCAATAGCAGCAACAGCAACAGCAACCTCAATACCAGCAGCAGCAACCTCAGCACGTTGCTTCAGCAACGACAATGAACGCAACAATAGAAAACAACAGCAAGTATTCGAAAACAGCGTTGCCAACAACTCTAGCAACCAAGCAACGCACCACACAAACAACGCCAATTCGATCATTTCATCCACCACTTTTTACACGCTGCGGCTGCTCGCATTGTGCTGTTTTCTTTTTATTGTTCGCTCGACGGCATTTGTTTTGGATTTTTGCATTTTCAGCACCGAAAATTCCTCTTGCGCCGGTTATGCGAACCTTCGGGGCATACTTAGCGTCAGAAACGCGCCAAAAATAGTTTACGAAGCGAGAATTGATTGTGAATCTCCTGGAGACGAGTATGCATGTTGACAGTTGGACAGTCTTTGTTGTTGGAAAATGTGAAATGTTGAAATGCGTGTCTTATGTTTGTTGTTGTTTCAGAAACCATGTTGTTAATTTTTGAGTTGTGCGATATTAAGATATTACTCAGGTGCTCAGGGGAGCCGAAAGCAATAAAAGTAATAAGAAAGTCTTAAAGTTTTGAATGCGTATCAGGCTATACGGAGCTTGGACTAAATGAGTGGATCACCTATATAGCTGCTTGAAAGTATTATATAGGAATTAAGGAAGACTAAAATTGAAATCTTTATTAAAGAGCTCCGACGTTTGGCTAAAAAAACTCCGGCAAAGTTTTAATTCAACTAGTAGTCGACTAGTTTTAAGTCGCACTTTTCGTAATGGATATATCTTTGTACTTTGAATAAGTAAGAAGTTATTGGAAACGTACTCAATACGGATATAGACGGTCTCTATATATTTCCACCTCAACTTTCTCCATGTAACAAGTTCCGCCCTTCAAAATCTTTTCATCTCACCTCCTGAGCGCCAACGGAGCAATGCCTAATTGGAACACTGACAGTGGCTAAATTCCATTCTGTGCCTTCAAAACTACACAAGCCCTGATCACCCGTTCCCATGACAGTCGGGTCTACGTAACCGGAACGAACCCGGATTCGACAGACTTCTGCCGCTACAATAATAACCAACGCGTGAACGAATACTAGAGCACCCCTTTCTGTTCCCATCCTGATGGAATTTGTGGAATGGATCCTTCTCTTGCAAGATCATTGACTTTACAATTTCTAGCTATTCCGCTGAGGTCAAACGCCCAGTTAAGCTTAATATGGAAATATTTTGATGCTCCAGCGAACTCAACAGTTGCTGCTACCACACTATCTGCCGTTTCGGAATATCCCTCTCTGAGATCCTAAATGTGTCTGATAGCAATCTACACAAAAATGAATTTGCCAGTTTATGGTTAGGTGTCTAGATGACTTCCTAAAAAACTGAATTCAAAAAAGTACTTTGAACTGTACTTTTCAATTGGAAACAAAATAAGTATAATTGCTGCAAACATTATCGGCATAAATCATCCCTAGGGTCAGATGACACTGCAGTCCCAGTGCAATTTCGGTCGCACATCCGTGCCACAAGCAACTAAACACAAAAGAATTGGCAACCTGAAGCTACACTGAGGTTACAAAAGTCACTAAGTGACTACAGCAGTGCATCTACAACAACAATCACTATACAACTACACCAGTCCCCCGTTACGCACACACAGATTGTGTCATAAATCATAAACTTCATTTCCTCTCGATTTTTCTGCAGCAAGTAAGAAGTAGATATTGATTTATGATCTGCAACCAACACAAGGGCAAAAACAAAGAAGAATAACGTCACACATACACACACATACACATACACACATAGTCATAAATCTGTGCTAGTATGAAGAAATAGTATCTTTTTGTGCAGCACATGCTTTCGGATTTTTACATTAGTTAGCAAGTATTGGCCTTTATACCCACTTCCAGCACTTGCTCGCACCACTTCTTTAGTTCATTCGCATTGCGAATATTGCAAGTTGTAATGCCATATGCTACACACTTTCGCATGAAATGCTTGCAAATAAGCTAACAAGACAATGTGGTTCTTGCATACCCACAGGCGCATAGACACAAAAACGAAGTCAAATGCCGGCAGTGAACTTTGAGCATTATCATGCCTGGCATACTTGGCTGCACTAAGGTCTGCGTCTATTTTATTTGCCTTCCATAGCAGCTGCCGTTGCCCGTGTCGCCACAGAGGAAATGACTTTCCAGTTTTGAGCTGATATTTGCCCTTAAAGGTGTGGCGAAAGCGTTGGTGTTCGGTGGTAATCGGTTTTTATTAAGTTATAAGTCTTACAAAATGTGTTTCATATTTCTTGGTTGTTAGTGCCTGCGAAGTCTTAATACATTCAATATGCCATAAATGGCTTTTGTAAGATTTTAGTACCGAAGATGTCGGTTAGAAATGATAACCTTTATGAAAATTTCAATTTTCAAAATGTTTAGTAAACACCACACTTCGTCTTAAAATTAAGATATCTTGACATAAACGATTTGGTCCAAGGCATCTTTAAGTACCCCCTACAGTCAGAAACGTTAAAAAAATATTGAAGTTGTACTATAAACCTGAATTTAAAAACTTTTTTGCTATGTAACATGAAGGGACATTCACAAACGCGAATCAGGCTTACCCAGATCTAACTTTGGCAAAAAGTGGTGTGTTTCGTTGGCACCATGCCTTTTTGGAGATCCGGGAAGAGGTCGCTGATGAAGGCCGAAAGAAGTTCCAAAGTGAAAACGATGATCATTGTCGTTTTTGACATCAATGGCATCGTCCACCATGCATTTGTTCCTTCTGAACAAACCGTCAACGCCAAGATTTACGTAGAAATCCTCAAGAGACTCAAACGAAGAGTCCATTGGGTTCTACAAAACATCGCAGCCGATTGAAAGTTTCTCCACGACAATGCCTCGCCTCACATCGGCTTTCTGGTGAACAGCTACCTAACCAAGGACGCCTCCGCAACCGCCCTATAGCCCAGATGTGGCCCTTGGAATTTTTTTTGTTTCCTTGTCTGAAAAGACCGAGCGTTTTGAGATGACAGATCGGATCCAAGCAGCATGCACCTCGGCTCTCAAGGCATTTCGATCGGTATTAAGTGCTTGTACGGAAGCTTTTTCGGCAATGTATGGAAAGCTTTTTTATTTGTCAAGATCTCTTCATGAAATTTTGTACAGATTATGATCCATGGCATTGCTATAATCTCCGAAGAAATTGCTCAGATCAGATCACTCTAGCATATAGCTGCCATACAAATTGAACGATCGGAGCTTTTGAAGCTTTTCTGGAGCTCAACATAAAGAGAGAAAGGCATTGACCAATGGCTGCTCAAATATCTTTATACGACCACAAATCCTCAATTATCGAGTAAGAAGAAGACGTCCGATAATATAAACATATATTCGTATTGAAAAAAAAAAAATCATAAAATAGTCTCAACATGCTTTGCCTTAATATAACGTCAAGATGCGTGTGAAATCCTTACTAATTTCTTCGATATACTAATGAGCCACACAAAAAACAAAAAAAAAAATTGACAAAACCAGTGCACATGATTCTCTTCTAGGCTTAAAATATTGCAAATGAAGCTATTAAAATAGTCATAAGTTCTACAGCCACTTATGCTTTTCTTCTCTTTTTCAATTTTCTGCTTACAGGCCATGGTACTGCCGCCGCTGGCGAAATGGCCATACGAAAATGGCTTTACATTTACAACGTGGTTTCGTTTGGATCCTATTAATTCGGTGAATATCGAGCGCGAGAAGCCCTACCTCTATTGGTGAGTACACAAACATACATACATACACACATACATACATACTGAATCTGTAACCAATGTTCAAACACGATAATAACTGTACTGTAAATGCTCTCGAGCAGCTTTTTACTTTGTCTATTTCCAGCGGCAACTCTTAAAGCTATATACACATTTTTCTCAATGTCGTCTTTATTACTTTCATGTTCTTTTATATGCATTTGCTTTGTGCACCATTTTCATTTACGTTTCATTTCTTGCTTTTGTTCGCCGTTCCGTTATTTCATCTTAATGGTATACCATTTGATTTAATTAATTTGAAATATTGCTGCAATTTGTAATTCATTAATTTCACCCCGGTCAGCTGGGCAGCGATACTCATTGTAACGGCACTTACACCACGCCGTTCATTTCGTTTATGAGAGTGCCAAAGTCCTGCTGCTGCTTCGGCTTCGGTTACTACTTTCAAGCATTCCCAACTAATTTGCCTCATTTTCTTCTTCGCTTCATTCACTTTGCTCAAATTTTTGCATTGCCTTCATGGCTATTGTCGCACCGATTCCCTAGCAGCACATTCATAGATTTCTCTATCATTTACGAATTTGTGAAAATTTGTATTTCAATTTTACTCTCATTCTCTTTCCAGTTTTAAAACATCGAAAGGCGTTGGCTATACAGCACATTTTGTTGGCAATTGTCTGGTGCTTACATCGATGAAAGTCAAAGGCAAAGGTTTCCAGCATTGTGTGAAGTATGAATTTCAACCGAGAAAGGTGAGTACTACAATGCTTAAAATTAATGTGTGTGTGATGGGGGTGTTTTGCGCGTTTTCATTTTTTGTTTCTAATTTAAGTGGTTACAATATTTCGTCTTTTATGAGTGGTTTAGTTGTAATGTTAGTTAGTAGTGGTGAGTTTTCACATAAAGTCACGCTCACTCTGTGTAATTGGTGCAATTATGAGTAGGATTTGATATTCAATATGTTCATGGTTCTGAAATTTCAGGGATTTAGTGCTTTATCAGTGAGTTAAGCAACATGCCGGCATTCTGAGAAGACCATACAATGTCACCTTGTAGAAGCAGTCAGGAGGTAGAAGAAGCTTTGTATAGGAAAAAATTGTAGCCATTTCGAGAATTTATTGACGTACGGAAATTGCACAGCTAAAACTGTATGCACTGATGAACTTCATCAGAAGCACGGAGTGGTTCAGACAAAACATAATTGAGTAAAGAAATTTAAGTCCCAGTGCTTTCACAAATAACTTCCTATAGGCTTGGTACTATTGTTTTTGTACAAACAATTTTATATGGATAGTTTTATGTTTAGATATAGGATAGTTTTTGGTTTAGTTTCAGGTCGATCAGGTTATCTACTTATTAATTTTGAGTGGGTTTGAAGCTTCATTCTAACCTCATTTTACAATATTGTATATGTTATCACCTTGGTTTGGTTTTTCTTTTTTAATTGCAGTGGTACATGATTGCCATAGTGTACATATATAATCGTTGGACGAAAAGCGAAATAAAGTGCCTCGTTAATGGACAATTGGCGTCCAGTACCGAAATGGCGTGGTTCGTTTCCACAAACGATGTGAGTACCAACAAAACACTTTGTTAATAAACTTTTACTATTTTAACAAAATGTGCGTCAATGCGCTTTGTTTGCAGCCATTTGACAAGTGTTACATCGGCGCAACGCCCGAACTGGATGAGGAGCGTGTCTTTTGCGGGCAAATGTCAGCGATTTATCTATTTAGCGAAGCGCTGACAACGCAGCAGATTTGCGCGATGCATCGCTTGGGGCCCGGTTATAAGGTGAGTGAAATAAAAATATTAAGACAAATATAAAAAATAATATACAAATTATAATGCATAAGAAATAAAAACAGCATCAATTTTAAAACAAAATATAGATATATTATAAATTAATTATTATGTGAAATATATTTATTAAACAAGGTTAGTGAAGAAAAATACTTAAACATGAAATGTATAAACATATGTAAAAAAGTAAATAAAATATACAAAATACTAATTTCCAGTCAAAAAT